AAGCCGTGATTCCCATTCACTTCCATTATATGACTGACAGACTGCAACGGTTTGAGTTAAAAATATTCGTTTGTGTTCTACTGAAGAAACAAAGTCATCTACATCTTGGATACCCTGGGGGTAAGCAGATAAACATCAAATTTTCATTTTTGGGTGAACTATCCCTTTAATAGATCATATATATGAATCCAAAAATAAATACCCTAGTGATGTATCTGCTTTTCATGGGCAATAACCTTTATAGGTCAAGTCAAATTTATTTGTGTAGTGCTTTTCACAATAAACACTGTTTCAAGGCAGCTAAAAAAAACATGATGTTAATGTTTGTAAGTAACATCTTATCTTCATGCCTTTAAGGGATAGTTCACCCAAAATTGAAAATTAGCCCATGATTTACTCACCCTCAGGGCATCCTAGTCGTTTCTGACAATCCTCTTTCAGATGAACACAATTGCAGTTTTATTTAAAATTGTCCTGGCTCTTCCAAACTGTATAATGGCAGTGGTGCCCATTTTTGAAGCCTAAAAAACAGCATCCATCCTTCATAAAACTACTCCATACGGCTCCGTGGTGTTGCCTTCTGAAGCAAACGATGCGTAAAGGCCCGTTCACACCAAGCACGATAACTATAAAGATAATGATAAAGATATAGTTCTAAAAATCGTTCTCAATATTAAAGAATAGCATAGTTCACACCACAACTATAATGATAACGATACAGAGGAACGATATCGTTGTGATCACTTTCAAAACAATTTTTTTCCAGCTGATGAACGATAAAACACTGACAGCCAATCGCTATAACGATAAAGGCACAGAGAAACGATATCTTTGGAATCACTTTCAAAACAATTTTTTTCCAGCTGATGAACGATAAAACACTGACAGCCAATCAGAATCCATCCTGCTGTAACGAGCGCAAGCATTTAAAGCGGCAGACGCATGTGCGCTTAGAATAAACAGACGATATCGTTCGCTGGTGTGGACGCTAATATCGTTATCTTTATAGTTATCGTTCTTGGTGTGAACGGGGCTTTAGTGTAAGAAAAATATAGATTTTTAAAAATGTATAAACTGTAATCTCCAGCTTCCGGTCGCTCAAGTAGGCGTGTTCACGACAAGGTGTTCAAGCGTATGACGTAGGCGTAGCGGAAGGCGTAACGTAAGCTCTGGGGAGAAGAGTGTAGTCTCGTGAGAACCAAGTTTTGTTTACAGCACAGCGAAACCATGTGAACTACATCTGTAGTTTGTGCCACCGCCGCTGCAGCCTCCTCCATCTCGCGGAGTTCCTGGTCGGTATACTTCAGTTCAAACAAATATGGCTGGTTTTGTAGTACTAGTTTGTGACAGGTGTTTTGTTTTGTTTTGCTTTCTCCTCTGTGCTTCCGCGTTCGTCACTCTCTCCCCGGAGCTTTCGCTACGCCTATGTCAATGCTCGTCTTTTCATGATCGCGCCTGCTCCAGCGACCGGAAGCTGGAGATTACAGTTTATAAATAAAATAAAAAAATCTATATTTTTCTTACACTAACGTATCGTTTCGCTTCAGAAGACCTTTATTAACACTCAGGAGCCGTGTGGAGTAGTTTTAGCTTGGAAGAGCCAGGACAATTTTAAATATAACCGCGATTGTGTTCGTCTGAAAGAGGATTGTCAGATACGCCTAGGATGCCCTGAGGGTGAGTAAATCATGGGCTAATTTTCATTTTTGTGTGAACTATCCCTTTAAGAGTCACATTTAGCAGAATTTTGCCATAATACAGGCAATCAAGTTGAGATATGATATATATAGTATATCACCCTGCTCAGGTATACTGAATGTATACGGATAAAGGACATACTTCCAACTTTATATAAAGATGAAGATATAAAGGCAACAATGTAATTACATTTTGTGACAAAATAAACAGCATTTGAGATTTCCTATAAATGATATATCACTTGAGTGTACTGTATGTATGAGGATAAAGTTGGATATATTATCCAACTTTATAGATAGACATATACTACAGTTTACATTTTGAGAAGATATAAACAATCACGCAGCTCAGATTTTGTTAGAGATGTGGGAATGCAACTACTCTTATTATTGGTGGAGTATATATGATAAACTACATATAAATTACCAGTACATTTTCCTTCCATTTCTGTGATGGGTGAACCAGATTATCAGCCAAAAGATGAAAACTGGACACATTTGCAGAATTAAACAAACATACTTGATGAGGTAATTTGACAACTACTGAAATGGTTTTAACATGGAATAACACCTTCTGTTTCACATACTGTTTTTAAAAATAGTCGGCAGTACACAGTGTATACTGCCCAGTAAGCTAGTATCCTGAACATTGCCAAAACCATTGGACTTTCCGTGGTTTCCCAGCTATGGCAGAGGTTCAAGAATGTGTAAAAACACTGGCAGGGAACTAGTAACACAGTACTAATGACTCGAAATGGTAGAGTGGGGGCATCAGCACTTCACATCAGCAATCTAACCTTAAAATACACCGTATTTCACATCTGTTACCTTCTTCAGAGTGACCCAGTTCTTCCATCACAACATCTTAAGTGTCTGTAAACGGTAACACAGTTTGCTCACGGGTCAAAAAAATTTTGATACTTCAGGGACTGGCCAGTGCCATGCTGACCTTTAGACCACCTTGATGTGAGGGTAGTAAAGGCTTAAACTGAACTATGGCATTCACTATGTGAAGAGACATAGTCTTTCTGAACACTCTGCCAAACTACAGTTATTAATAAACTGCCTGTTGTTGGTGTGTGAACAGCAATATTATCCTGATCAAAAGGAGAGGGAAATATGAAGAATCTGGGTTATATTCCATTAAGTGTCAATCCTCATTACACATTTGAAATTGAGCAAAAAGAAAACGGCTCCTTGATGCACCTGTTGAACAAAATGGGGCGGTGACATGTTTAAACAATGAATGTATAACAACCCCCCCCTCCATTATACTTTGTCCTTTTTTTAGCATGGAAACAAGCAGCTGCCCTTCAGTCTCCCTCCCTCCCTTACCAGCTCCTGTTTGTGGCAGTGAGTTATCTTCATCTTTAAATTTAAGACTTAGGAACATATTCAGGCTGTCACCTCTCTGACTCACATACTAAATCAACAGCACCCTTCACACACTCACAGCTAGCAGACTCATTTCACTGCACAGCTAGGTCATGGCGGACAGAAAGGACAGCAAGACCCCCAGTAAAGGTGGTCTGACAAAGAAGAAAGAAAAGAAAGTGGAGAAAGTAGAGAGTAAACCTGAAAAGGAGAAAGAAAAGAACAAAGATAAAGGTGAAAAGATGACAAAGAAGCCAGAGAAGACCCCAGAAAATCAGCAAAAAAATGAGGAGATGCCTCAAGGAAATGGGGAGGTAGCAGAAGGAGCCAAACACCCTGTCAAAGATGAGGAGTTTGAGCTGGAGCCTATGGAGCTGCCTCCATTTGAGATCATTGTAGGGTAAGTCAGATATGTTTCACTTATACAAACTGGATCCCACAGTAATATTTCAGTCACTCAGCAAGAACATTGGGGGGAAAAAAGCAAAATATTTGTACCTATAGGGACACAACAGTTTGTCTCTGGCTCAATACAAAGGGACAACTTTGTGCCTTATTTAACCATAAAGAGTTCATAATTGTACCTTAAGGTTACATATTCCACTAAGTAATTTTTATGCACCTTTTAGGAGTAGAGGCACAAATTTGTCCCTTTAAGGGTACTGACAAGCTGTTGTATCCCTAAAAGTACAGTTTTTGCTAATGTGTTTCTGATAGAGTATCTTCAAAATTCATAACAGCATGGCATATTGCATGACACCACAACCTATTTTAAGATTACTTTGCCACTTGTTTAGAAGAGGGACCTTTTAAAAAGGACCTTTAATAAATTACAACATAGATAATGCATGAGTATTTAGCATTCTAGAGACAATGCTTGGCGGGACGAACTCTGACAACAGTTACATCTGAAATTCCAACATGTTGGACAAGAACATTATAAATGAGACCAATCCAGGACATTGCTTTGAACCCCAGTGCTTTTAGAAAGTTGGGACTTTTCTGTAGGCTACTCAGTATAATCTTTGTCTTTATGAGTTTTCCTGTCCCTGCCATGGTGTAGCAAACAATGATGATGCAGGCACTTAACGACCAAAAGTATGTGAGCACCGTCTTATAATTAACCAGTTTGACTATTTCAGCTACACCCACAGTAACAGTAGCATAAAATCAAGCACACAGACATGCAATTACCTAAAACAAAGATTTAGAGAACCAAAGAGCTCAATGACTTTCAACAGGGTACATCACTAAGTGAGGTCCATAAGGTTTGATTGACCTGCACAAAAAAATGAAACCCCATTGGCTCTCATGATTGAATGGGATAAAATCTCAACCATCATCCATATTCTAGTGGACAAACTTCCCATAAAAGTGGAAGCTGTTAGAGCAGAAAAATTCCCTATTAATATCTGGTTTAAAATCATTCAGCAAGCACATATGGGTGTGGTGTTCAGGTGGCCATTATTTTTAAGTCATGTAGTGTACATCAGGGCCAAAAAAAAGCCGCCACCACCTCTTACCACTCAATGGGTTCTTCTTTCAAATAAAATAAAACTCAAGAGAAAACTCACCTGACATTTTATAAGAATTTATTTAAACAAAGTGATCAATACAAGCCCATTAAGTCCTTTTGAGTCTCTGTAGGCTTATTAGTGGCCATTCAAACTGAAGTGCTTCTTGTCCAAAGTTAATGCATTCATTTGTTTTAAAGCTGGAATACACCACACAACTTTTGCACAGATTTGTGCCCATATTTGTAGTTGATGCTTGTTGCTGAAAAGCAGAGCCAGTCTGCAGATATGGGCAGTTGGAGTTGAGAGATTTCACAGAAATTCATGTAGTGTATGATGGGTACAGTCTCCAATTTTGAGTTTTAGATTATGATTCCATCCAGTCTGAAAGGATATCAACATGTCTGATATTTTGAGCTGATTTTAGAACACATATTGTTTCCATTTCTCATGTGTGTCCTAGCAACAAGGTGCACGTTTCTGCGTGAGTTTGCCATGTCTGGAACGACCTGAAAGTCTGAAGTCTGAAAAGTGTGCAAATCTAATTTTTCTCTGTAACCATTTACAAAGTTGCCAAGCGTATGATGCCTAGTGTTTTAAAATATGTACAATTTTTTAGTAATGAAGTCATGTAGTGTATTCCAACTTTTACTTTAATCTTTCTCACAATAGATTGTGATAAAAGTCTTATTCCAAATGTCCTCCTTCTTACCACAGAGACAGACTGAACCCGACCTTCTTTAAGTTCCAATTTAAAAATGTGGAATATTCCTCCGGGCGCAACAAGACCTTCCTGTGCTACCAGGTAGACATTCAAGGAGGCGCTGGAGAGACAGATGGCCTTCGTGGTTACCTGGAGGATGAGCATTCGGGTTCACATGCTGAAGAAGCCTTCTTTCAACAGGTGCTGGCCCATTACGACAAGTCACTCCACTACACAGTGACCTGGTACACGTCCTCAAGCCCTTGCACAGCCTGCGCTGCTAAGCTCGCAGAGATCTTGCGAGCACGCAAGACAATACGCCTTAATATCCACTGCTCCCGTCTCTTCCAGTGGGAGGAACCAGAGATACAGGTCGGACTTCAGGCGCTAGTTAGGGCGGGGTGTAAAATACGCATGATGAGGCCTGTGGATTTTGCGTATGTTTGGTCTACTTTTGTTGAGAACGAGGAAGATAACTTTACACCCTGGGAAGACTGTCAAGACAACTATGATTATTATGATGAGAGGTTGTGTGATATTTTAAAGTAGGGTAAGAAGCCGCAGCTGGCCTCTGATTAAGACTGTTAAAAACAGCCTGGGCACCGCCTTTAAGGAAATGCAATACTTAAAACCTAATTATTACAATGTCTCTGTAATTACACCAGCATTGTTTCCTGTCAACACTATTTGTCCTGTGAAATCCCACAGTTGACTTTATTAACTGATTTTAAACTTACATAAAGAATTCAAACCACACTTATGTATAGTATTTAGATGGGCATCTCAAATATATAGGTTATATTTTTATTTTACTGAGTATTATTTTGAGAACATTTTTAGAAGCTAAACATCTGGGTGTAAAATTCAAACATGGAATTCCTAGTTAACTAATTCTTTTGCAAACTAAAATGAATTCGATTTCTTTTCAAAATTAGAATATTTAAACATGATGTTTAGAGCAAAACATCATGTTTAAATATTCTAATTTTGTCTTTTTAAATGATTTTTTTTTTTATTATTTTGAAATGATATAATGAACATTGGCATAGTGAACAGTCTCCTTGTATGTAAAACAGTAAACATGAGTCAATTTCCTATCATAATCACAATCTAAAGACGGCATGCTTTTCAATGCTATTTATAATATACCAAGGCAGTGGATCCCAACCCTGTTCCTGGAGTCCCCCCAAAACAGCACATTTTCGCTGTGTCTCATTTCAAAGGCTGCACCAGCCAGAGGTCGCATTTGCCGGCATTATGTCGACCATTACATTCCAAAGACAGAAATTACTGTAATTATCCCTCATGAGGACTAACAGTGAATTTTATAATGGTTGCTTTTCTGAAATGAGAGAGGATCTGTGACATATGCGGCTGACTAATGCGACCTGTGGAGGACACAGCCTTCGAAATGAGACACAGCTCCACGAACAGGGTTGAGAACCACTGTACTAAAGAATCAATTGGAAATAAGGATTTCAGAATAATGGTGGAATTATTATTTATGGGACATTTATAGTGCATTTATATTTGAGGTACACTTAACTTAGTGAAATTCACTGGTAAAATATGAACTAGAAAGCATCATTTATCAAACAAATCAAATGAAACTCGCACCCTCTAGTGGTGAAAAGAACATTCATACAATTTAGAGATGCAACAGGAGGATGGAAAAACAATGGAATCTAACTTAGGGGAAAACAACTACATATTCTTAGTGTATATAACTGGAACTGTCTTAAGAGCTTATATTTCCCAAAACAAGACTAATGAACACCCTACACACCATAAACAGTCAAATTCCAGTGGAATAATAAGCCATCCTCCAACCATTCTTTAAGAGCAGTTAAGAAATAATGTGAGTTTCAGACCTGCCGTGGTCTAGATTGTGTACACAGTGCTGGAGATTTTTGTGTCCTGGAAGACTTCTGTGATAATGGAAGACACTTTTTCCCATTTCAGTTTATCCAGCCCACAGCCAATCCTAGCAAGAGAAAATGCCATCAGTTATTGAAAATCAATTCAAAAGAAATGTTACCCTAATTCTTTCCAAATTAGTATTTAAAAATGCAATTATCAAGCTCTATTTGAGTTTTGACAACTGCAAAATTATTTTTTATTGTCATTTAAGTAATTTAGCTAGAATCATATTAAAAAAAGCAAATCTAAAATCAATATCTGCATTTAAATTAAAAACAACAATATTGTTATTAAACGTGACAGTTTACCGAGGCATGGATATACTGTTAACACCATTGGCCAAGCAGTGTTCCCTCATAGACACAAGGCTCTTTCTGAGAATGTCATAGGTGGGTTTTTGGTAGTACTTTTTCTTTGTGACCTAGAGCAAGAAAAAAAGTGGAAAAGGTAGGTTTTGGTTAACAAGAAAGCTGCAAGTCAAGACAACTCTACTCTTATCTTCATTTATTTAGTAAAACAGAACAGATGTGAATTAGAGTGAACTGAACACTACAGGCCATCTTACCAGGTAGTACACGAAACGACCAGCTCTTCTAAGGACAGCACACTGCCCAGGTTGTTTCTCTGCACAAAACAGAAGACAGAAAAAAAACACTGAGACTGAAGCGGGTGTAATTTGATTGCCACCTCTCAGTAATGATAATTCACACTCACTCTGAGCCAGAAGCTCCTCAACTCCACCAAACCTCTTCTCGAAGAGCACAGCGATCCCTGCCCCCATTCGGAGGTCTTCACTGATGCAGTGCGCCAGGGCATTGGTGGGCGGACAGGTGAACAAATCTCCTCTCTCGTGCAGCAGCCACCATCCTGAGCTGCACGGGAGCTGCAATAAATGAGCAAGACAACAAACCCAATCATAACAAGACACAAATCATTCCAACCTCCAGACAATTGCCTGATAATGCATCTGAATTCAATTTCGCCTGTACCACAGCTAACACTCTAATTACATTTTTATTATTATTATTATTATTATTATTTAATCATTCTGAATACCCTTTCTAAATTCTTTTGCTGGGGAAATCTTTGGTCAATCTGTACACAGATTTGAAAAGTAAACGAGTAAGACTTTTAAAAGTTATGGTACTCAAATGAAGACATGCTTACTTTTGCCGTACCTTCATCCGCATGATCTTGTCCATCAGATTCCTTTGACATTTGAGCAGGGACTTGACTGGTATTATTTTCTGTACAGACACATTTTATCTTGACTACAAAAAGCTACTGAACATTTCGAGATACCGGTAATTCAACACGCATGATGGGACATGTTGTCACACGATATGAAGTAAAATCATAGTGAAATCTGCAGTTTTGAGAAGAATACACCAATACTGAAATATATAAATAGCCTAATATGCTCAATTTAACAGCCATCTTCCACAAACTAACATTATCGGTGTATAAAATGTATTACAGGATAACAGTCAAGCGCAAATTCATGAAACATCAAAATATAAATCAATAAATTAAAATAAAATAAAATAAAAAAATCAACTTTTTGGCCAACAGAAAATGAAATTCATTATTGTTTAAAATTACATGATATAAAACAACCCAGTGACAACATAACATTTACGCAGAAATACTGTGTCCTGAAACCTGTCAATGTGACAACGTTCCAGTGTGACAACTAACTACATTCCCCCCTGTATATCGTGTTCAAAATCATCAGTAAGTAATTATTACAAGTTAAGATTTAGTATTTACATATTTAAGTTCTTAACCAACAGCCACTAGTTTGATACGTCGAGCTGCTGGTCAGATAACTTACCACAACAATGAAGCTGATGTGTGTTTTACGTCCCTTTAAACGTTCGAGGTCAATCACTGTAAATAAAGAAGCAGGTTTCTCTTTTGCTTTGAGTGCAAGTTTAAATTAATTGTATTGAAAGGCTTGAGTGCCATCTATCGTCAGGGAGCATGAGAGCAAACTGTTTATAAATCCAACGAGAGACATTGAAGGCGGATAGATAAAAAGGGAATAAAAGGTAACATCGAAATGAAGAAAATATTTCATACGTCAAAAAAGCTTGTATAACGTATGCATTTGTTTGTTTATTAATTTGAACAGTCTCATACATCAGCATTTAATGGTTATTCTACAACTGTTAATATTTGGAAAATGTATTAAATTATGATGATGATCATCATCATCATAATAATACAGTTTTTAAATATGGAGTCTTTAACATAGCAGGAACATTTTAATTAATTAAATATTAATATTTAAAATAGTTGTTTAAAATATTAACAATAAAATATTATGTTTCTGTAGCAGCATTGAAAAAAAATGTGACAATTGTATAATAATTGATAAACAGTGATGACTGCTGACATCCTGAGACTAAACATTATTAGAAAGTGATATAACATCAGTGATGATGTTAATTTAATCATAAGATGGCTTGAATAAAATAGTCCGAAAACAATATTGGTAATATTCTGCTATGGAGATTTTTGGGGTTTTTGTTACCCTGCTCCATTATAATCATGATAAACAAAATAAACTTAATCATGAAATTTGTAAGTGCTGTTACTGTAGAATTACATATTATTACCATCAACTACATTTAACACAGCTCACAAAACAAAACCATGATTAACGTTTTTTTTTGTAATAAATGAAACAAAAAAAATTCAGTAATAGTACATTAAATTTATAATTGGTAAGTTTTTATTTTTGAGAAATTTACAAATGCAAATAACTTTATAATTGAGACCTTCCAGGGACTTCATTCTTTACGATATTCATGTATTTACAAACATCAGATATGCCAATTTGAAATGGATTGCTGTTGTTTATAAGTTGAGTAATATGCCACATACAGTAAACTCAAATGCACCTCATCTGCAGAATAATAATAACAGGAAGTCAGAAATCCAGTCAGTCATGAAAGTGAGCCTTTTACAAATCCTAACAACAAGAATGAAAGAAACAATAAAGAAAACATGAATATTTACATGTAGATAGAATTAATTCTGTTTGTCAAAAAAATAAATGGGAGTTACACCACTACATTAAAAAAAAAAGACTGATGGCTTAAATTCAATTGAATGAACCAAGACTAAAAGACTGTAGTTGAGAAACTATGCATGCTCTGTATATGTTGGTTAAGGGGTAGGCTTCTGTTAAGGGTTGTTTTAGTGAATATGGAGTTCAGAAGTTGGCGCTGCGGCGTCTCTGTTCATTGATCCAGTCCCCGGGGTTCACGTCCATTTGCAGCATCTTCATGACCCACTTGTCACGTCGTGCCCCGTCAATGAACTCATCCAGAGACAACTCCCCTGAGGACACAGCAAAGAAACTCAGGATCAGCTGCTTTTTCAAGAAGGCCTTTGAGCAGAAAGCCAGAATTTTTCCACGGTTTGATTAATTATTAACATCAGTGTACTTAAATAAAAACAGACTGTATATTATAATAAAGGAAAAGACTATAGACTTTGGCTTAACCATTTAATAATTGTAGAAAAAGAATGAATCATAGTAAGTTTTACCATCTCCATTCTCATCCACTAGCTCAAATATTCGGTCCACCACCTGATCTGGGGTCAGTAGGTTACACTCTTCATCAAGTTCACCATGGCAGGCTTTCTTTAGTCGGTAGATTGACTGTAAAAGTAAAGTAAAGGAGCCCATTTCTTTCTTTTGTAATCCTAAATGCATAAATGTCTTCTTTATAGCGGTATTACAAAGTATAATAGCATTTCTGCACACAAATGTCCTGCTATCACAGAGGTCATATGGATTAATCCTTCTGTAAACATCTCACTATAAGTTTCAATGTCAAGGTGAAAGTTATGAAACCGGTCATGAAAATGTAATCTCAGTACAAATGCAACCAGAGCACACAGAATTACAGTTTTCATCCTTTTTTTGTTAGTAATCTAGTAAACCACTGAAGTATTATAATCCCAATCGATGTTTAAGTCCATCTGACCGTGTTGACAATTGGGAAGAACATGAGAAATGATTACCTCCACAATCTCCTTGAGCTCTGTTTTGTCGATGCAGCCACTCCCATCCTTGTCATACATTTTAAAAGTCCATTTCAGTTTGTGCTCCAACTTTCCTCGCAGCACTAGATTCAAGGCTGCAACGTACTCCAGAAAATCAATAGTGTTGTCCTATGAAAAAAATGAAAGGGAGGGAAAGAGAAAAGAGGATTGACCTGTTAAAAATTCTGTGAATTTTCAGGTTCATTTTTTTTCAATATGCAATCTCTTTCCCAGTATTCTATTCTATTCTATTCTATTCTATTCTATTCTATTGGTGTCAAGTATTTACCATACAGTCTATGGTATTTACACACTCACTCCTACACAGTGTTTATGCCTACTTTAGTAACTTAACTGAAATTGAATAACTTACCCCATTTTTATCAAAAGCACGAAACATGTTTTCTATATAATCGGCCGCTTCTGGGTTTCCAGTTACACCAAAGAAGCTCTTGAACTCATGCATGAAGAGGGTCCCGCTCGGACATTCAACCACAAACTTTTTATACCACTCCTGCAGTTCAGCAACATCAATCTCTTTATCGTCCGAATCCTCACTGAGTCGCTGACCCATCGCGAAAGATGACAATAAAGAACACAAGCTCTGCTTCTCAACAAAAAATGTCCATTATCACATCTGTCAGCTTCACTGTCCTGGAGTTCTCCCTGATCCAGACATCCCAATAAACCTTTTAAGCCCCACAAACTGATAATCCAACACCAAAAATGTCTGATTTAGGATACAAACGCGTATGCCCTTTAAAAATAATAGTAAAAACTGAAGTTACAAATTTCAGTATGTACCAAAGTGTAAAACTAACCTCAGTCTATTAGCAAAGGTGCTCTACTGGCTTGGGATTCAGCACAAGGACTATTTTGGATCACATGACTGAAAGGGATTATTCATATCAATCCATGTCTGAATTAATTAGCTTGAAACAAGATCAAGCGCTTTGCAATAATTCATCATTTAGCACACAGAGTGTTCCATTCCTCAATTCAGGTTCAAGGGCTCCCTGAGGGTCTCATGTCAGAGCATTAACCATGACCTGGTTATTTTTTACCTGTTAAATCTAAAATAATCTTTTGAAGGCCACGAATTCCCCAAACATTCTTCCATTTAATTACTGAAAAAAATCACTCAAAAATGGATCAGTGAAAATACATTTGGATACTGTTTACTTCTTCTATACACTATAACATAGCACCTCACTTCTGAGAAACCAAAACGAGAGAAAAAAAAAGAAAAAAAAGAAGATCCCATACTGGACCTTCCCAGGTTGTCTATGATGGCCTTACAGGGGGTCTGAAGACATATACACTGTAAACTTTGTTTTTCAAAGTTGTATATAAAACAAAGATTATTACAGTACATTTTACAAGACAATAAAATGTCAGTCTCTACTTCAAAATGTCACATTTAATTTGTTACTTGCCATTTCTTTGTAATTATTTGTGAAATTTGCAAGCAATTTCTGATTTTTTTCTTTAAAATATTCTTTAAAATAATATATATATATTTTAAAATGAATGTCCAAAGGTGGTACATAAATGATATACTTAATATTATAGAAACAAGTAATGTCTCCTAGAATTAAAGTTATGCTACTAAAATGTTACTGAGAATGCATTTATCTAGCATTTTTATATTGGGATTCCCTTGTTTAGCTGACTGGGAAGGGGTGGGGGTCCCTGGATCTGAAATGTTGAAAGCCCTGACCATATCCTGCTCTTGGTCACTCAATCCTGTGAATCATTCAGAAAATCTGAGTCATAATCCCCTCTGCCCTCTGGTCTTCCTATTAATAGTTTTTCAAAAATAGGATCTGAGAAGTCTGGCCTAGTTCATGAGGGTGGTGCATTTTGTCTGGACTCGTACCACTTTGGATCACAGTGAAAACTAAAATCTAAATGGTTACACTCTTTAAAATAAGGGTTATTGGCATCAATGGTTTTATAAAGAACCTTTAACATCCATGGAACCTTTCTATTCCACAGAAAATCTTTATACTAAAAAAAACACACGTTCTTTTAAGAACTATTTATCACTTAAAGGTTCTTTGTGGAACCAAAATGGTTCTTTTATGGCAATGCTGAGAAAACGTTCATTTGGAACCTTTATTTGTAAGAGTGTAATAACAAAAATAATGGGGTTGTGGAAGTCCAATGGCCTTGTTTTTAGGGTGACCCAGACCCAATAGATCACAAAACTGTTTTAACGTGATATGTTGCCTCTATTACTCAGGTTACAACGTAACAGTGTACTGTCTCCAAAATGACAGAAAGAATGTACTGTAGAAGGTATAATTTGATCCTGTTATTAGTAGCCTACTTAAGGCCACAATGTTGATAGTTCTGCAATGAGATATAGGGTCAATAGAGATATATAACCTCAAAGAAAAGGGATTACGTGATATTAAAGAATATAAATACAAAGCAGCAGACTAATAATATGATTTTACTATAATAATCTCTTTGTATATGCAGTGAAGAAGTGTCTGTTTTACAGTGTTCACAATGCTTTGATACATTGCACACACATCTTCATGCCGACATACAGAAATGTTACTGGTCAAAGATACTCAGTTGTGTTCAAGTGCAAACACATAATACAGCAGGCCCCATAAGGTCTGTTTTGTCAGTCCATGAACTTTAAAGACCTTTTCCAAAGTGCTGACTATACTTTATAAGGAGCTCATCTGGCCTACAGGTATCCAGGCCACTCATTGCACAATTAATCTTATTGGATTAATGAATACAATAACAAATATAGAGAACTTGTACACAACTTCACATACATTTGGAATGCAAAATAATGTTTTGAATGAATTTTTACTATTTTACTAATCATTTACTTGTATTTTGCTTTTGTGCCATGCATTAGATGACAAAACCTTTGTCAGAGTTGTAATTATAGTGCCATTAAAATCAATTAGATCTGAAACGATTTAGTAGTTTACAGTCATAATAGTTCCAAACAAGGCAGTAATCAGTACTGACTGATGGAGAAATGAGTATGTTCACTTTCAATTACAAGTCATAAATGGATTTTAATATCTTTAGTTCTAATGAACAGCTGAGCAGTGCTGATTTTTATTTGTGATCAGGATGATAAATTGGCCTATATAAAAAATATTAATCACTGCTCTAATCTGATATGACACTATCAGTTACGATGATACAAATATATCATGCGAATCAATAACACGGACAAGAGGAGAAAGTTCTTTACATTTTTTTTATTTTTTTTTAATTACTAACAGATGCCCCTGGGTGTCAGTGTTACAACAGTTTTATACTGTGAATGGCTGGTTGACCACGTTCTTTTGAACCTGTATATGTTTTAATACACAATGAATTCTTAGGGCTGATTGATTTACACGCAAAATATAGTTTATAACTGCTAAGATTAAAGACTGTAAAGTCAAAATTGTCTTGTGAGGATTTAACAGATTTATTTAAAGCGATTACTAACGTGAAAGTACCTCAGAATGACACTTTAGCATTAGTCAGCGCACTGACCGCGGGTGCAACATTATGCAATCCAAAAAAAACAACAAAAAACCCCAGAGAGGAGAGTTATTTATCGGCTCTGATTTGAGATTAATGTCTGATCCAGTTGCCAGGGCAGTGAAATAATATTTCCTCTGTCTCTCATCCCACCTGCATAAGCCCCTCACCCAAAACACACAGCAGAGAACCGAGAGCAATATTTCTGACGGTAGCCTAGGCTACATCTCGCTCCTTTAATCAAAACGAGTAATAATCATCCACAGCACATTCACACTGCGGGGAAATTAAAAAGCAGAAATTAGGATAAGTACAGAGTGCTGCTGTTTAATTAGAGTAGGCAGATACCTGAGCAGGGATTCAAAGGCTTATTAATCACTTTACTGTTTACTGTTAATTATTTTTTTTGATGCAAATTAATGAATTATTATTTGGCCACGTCTTTCGTCTAATATGTGTACCCTCAGGGCCGGCCGTTTCTAGCCATTTTGACGCCCTAGGCGAAATCCCTATTATGTATATAATAGTATGTAAATGTATATCCTGAATGCACTGTAAGTCGCTTTGGATAAAAGCGTCTGCTAAATGCATTATTTTATTTATTTAAATTTATTTAATTTAATTTTATATATATATTAGGGCTGTCATCGTTAAAGGCACAATATGTAATTTTCGTCGCTAGAGGGCGCGTATTCAAAATAAACAAATAGACAAAGGCATAGTTATTCTTCGAAACATTTGGGATAATGTAAGTACACAAGTCAGCAAAATATATAACACCGTTCTAGAGGTTTTTGGATATTTTAATAAAAAAATCTTACATATTGTGCCTTTATATGGCGATTCATTTTACAATCCTTAATGCGTTAAAATAATTTTGACAGCCCTACACTGTACACATACTATGAAATTCTGAATTTTTTTTCTTTCATATGTGCTTATATGGGCTCCTTATATAATTGCCACGTTGAATCAAGGTAGTAAAAAACAGACCACAGAGTAGTATCCAAGAAACCAGAGGGATTCACAGCAGATCCAACAATAGTCCGAACAGTGGTCCAGTAGTCCAAAATGAAAGTAGTAGTCCAAGACGGTAGTCTAGAAACGAAAAAGAACCAGACAAAACGCAAACACAGATCGTCACAAAACAAACAAACAGCCCAGCGTGGAGCGGCAGCCAGATGCACACATAAATCTGCCGGAAGTGAGCCACGTTGAAAGAGAGGCCTAGGATGGCGAACATGCCTGTTCGATTAACATTCGTTAATGTAGTATAACTGTGACATACACATGTTTTGTAATCTGAATGTACATTAAATGAAATTAAGTTGTTTCATTGCTTTCTCTGTCTTCAACCCCAACATTTGAGCTTTTCTTGTGCTTCAGGTCAGAACACAGCTCATTCCCTTTGAAATACTGGAAGAAAATCTAAATAATACATCTTTAAGCAATAATAATTTACCATCATTGAGAAAATTGAATAAAACTAGCGAATACAAATCAAAGTGACACTCTTGGTAGTCTGCTTTTTATTTTGATAGCACTCTACACAGATATAAACTCCACAACAAACAATAACAAATGCAACTGATAATCCTTTATGGATCCAGTAAAACTTAGTTACAGAGGTAACATATTATGCACTGATACAGTGCACAGTTTGTAGATGCCCAAGCTGCCGACGAGTCAGGTATGTTTTCGCCTGTCCCGATATGACAGTTGCCCGCACCAATATGGCGGCGACGTTGACGTGCGGTCGAGCGGCCAATGAGGCGTCTAGGTATTTATTATGTCTATGGTCCAAATACCCCCACTTGCGGTCTTTGCACTTGACCACTTATATGACGTATTTCTTGTATTTGGCCTACCAAACTGTTGATTTGGCCACTCCTAATGTTCCTGCTATCTCTCTGATGGATTTGTTTTGTTTTTGAAGCCGAACAATCGTTTCACTTGCATGGAGTGCTCCTTTGACCGCATGATGTGGGTTCACAGCAACAGCTTCCAAATGCAAATGGCACATGTCTGTTCAGTAGTCCCTATAACAGAGGACACAATTTAATTATATGTAATATCTAATTATTATTAATATTTAACATGCATTGGAAAGGTTTCCGTGACCTCTCGTGAGATCTCGGCAAAAAGTCTCACGATTTATTTCCAGAACATGATGTATGATGGGATACACTAAGCCTCGAATAGCGCTCCGGAGCTGTATTCGAGAACACTGCGCTTTGCCGTTTTTAAGACCTGGGACAGTCTTGGCACTTACTTCCTGTTGCGGGCACACGCTCTCAAGTGGCCAAGACCGCAAGTGTGGGTATTTGGACAAGGCTTGTTGCAACATACCTAAGGATGC